ACTGGGTCAAGATGGGTTAAAAAGGGGTCATAGCCCAACTTGACCCAACTTTTCTTCTTTGAGCAAAAAACATATATAGACAAAATTTAAGAAAATTTTCCACAAACTTAGCAGTAATAGATATTTTACAGACAAGGCAACTAAATAATTATATTCCTAGCAGAAAATTTTAAACGATGTCCCTAAAATCACGCATCCACAATGTTCATTTCCTTAAAAATAAAACCAACAAATGATTGTTATCTTCTATCTCTCTTCTAAAAATGGAATTTGTCGTTAATTATGATTTTGTTGGCTCTTTCAATTATGATAACATATTATTTGGTGGTATAACCATATTTTATNCAACATACCTAATATTATCCCACACCGTGGGGTCTGGGGAGGGTAGTGTGTACGCAGGCCCTACATATATATATATATACAACAACAACAACAACAACATACCTAATATTATCCCACACCGTGGGGTCTGGGGAGGGTAGTGTGTACGCAGGCCCTACTTTGTGAGGATAGAGAGATTATTTCCAATAGACCCTCGGCTCCGGAAAGTATAAGAACCATATTAATGAAATAAATACAAGAAGGGACAGTACCAAAAAGTCATATAAAAGCAGGATAAAACAACAAGATAGTAAGGTGGTTAACAATAAAAGAAAATAACAGAAACCTACTACCAACAGAAAGTGAGACTGCATGCTCATACTATTGTTATGAACACTCTAGACTACCTACTCTACTACCCTAATCCTCGATTTTCACACCTTCCTATCAAGGGTCGTGTCCTCGGTCAGCTTAAGTTGCGACATGTCTTGACTAATCACCTCTCCCCATCTCTTCTTTGGCCTACCTCTACCTCTCCGTAGGCCCTCCAGTGTCAACCTCTCACACCTCCTTACCGGGGTATCTGTGCTCTTCCTCCTCACATGACCAAACCACCTAAGTCGCGCTTCCCGCTTCCTCAATAAGGGCCACAACTACTTTATCGCGAATAACCTCATTTCTGATCCTATCTAACCTGGTGTGCCCACACATCCATCTCAACATCCTCATCTGTGCTACCTTCATCTTCCGGACATGAGCGATCTTGACTGGCCAACACTCATTCCCATATAACATCGTTGGTCTGACCACCACTCTGTAGAACTTAACTTTAAGTTTCGGTGGTACCTTCTTGTCACACAAAATACCGGAAGCGAGTCTCAATTTCATCCATCCCGCCCCAATACGATGTGTGACATCTTCATCAATCTCCCTATCCCCCTGAATAATAGACCTAAAGTACTTAAAACTCCCTCTCCTATGGATGACCTGCGAGTCCAGCCTCACCTCTCCTTCCCCTCCTTGAGTCTCACCACTGAACTTACACTCCAAGTATTTTGTCTTGGTCCTGCTCACTTGAAATCTTTAGATTCCAAGGTCTGCCTCCAAACCTCTAATTACGCGTTCACACTGTCTCGCTTCTCGTCAATCAATACAATATCATCTACAAATAAAATGCACCACGATACCTCCCCTTAGATGTGGCGCGCCAGTACATCCATCACCAGAGCAAACAAAAAAAGGCTGAGTGCCGACCCCTGATGCAACCCCATCATAACCAAAAAATGGTCTGAGTCCCCACCCACCATTCTCATTCGGGTCTTTACTCCATCATACATGTCCTTAATCAACCTAACGTAGGCAATAGGAACACCTCTAGCTTACAAACATCTACACAAAACCTCCCTCGGAACTTTATCGTACGCCTTTTCTAAGTCGATGAACACCATATGCAAGTCCTTCTTTCTCTCTCTATAATGCTGCATCAATCTCCTAACAAGGTGGATGGCTTCTGTAGTCGAACGCTCTCGCATAAACCAAAACTGGTTCTCGAAAATAGATACACTCCTCCTCATCCTTAGCTCTACCACTCTCTCCCAAACTTTCATAGTATGGCTAAGCAGCTTGGTACCCCGATAGTTATTGAAATTTTGGATATCACCCTTGTTCTTGTATACAGGAACCATCGTGCTCCACCTCCACTCTTCGGGCATCTTCTTCGTTCTTAAAATGACATTAAATATCCCGATGAGCCACTCCAAACCTGCCTTACCCGCACTCTTCCAAAGCTCCATCGGAATTTCATCCGGCCCGGTCGCTTTGCCCCTGCTCAACTTACGCATAGCCCCCTCAACTTCATCAACTCTAATACGCCTACAATACCCAAAGTCACAACGACTCCCGTATAGTTCTAAATCACCCAGTACAATCCTCTTGTCCCCCTCCTCGTTCAAGAGACTATGGAAGTAAGTCTGCCATCTCTGACGGATAAGCCCCTCATCTAACAAAACTTTACCTTCTCCGTCGTTGATGCACTTTACTTGGTCCAAGTCACGCGCCTTCCTTTCTCGCGCCTTGGCTAACCTGAAAAACCTCTTATCCCCACCTCGACTCTCGAGTTCCTCATACAAACGACTATATATATATATATATATATATATATAAACGAAATCTTGCATACCAAATTCTGGAGTAAATTACTCCAAAAAGATCAACAAGGAAAATTATATAGTCAAGAAATATTGGATAATATCCAAAAGAAGATTGATGATTATAATAAGCAAAATGAGGCTAATATTATAGAAGATTTGAGTCCGTTCAGACAAATAACTAGACAGTTTCAGATGAAGAAATAGACTGTGAGCAAAGCAAAAATACTGGCCTCATACATGAAGGATATATATATATATATATATATATATATATATATATATATATATATATATATATATATATATATATATATACACACACGTTAAATATTTATGAAATAATTCTAGTACATTGTAAATTTAGTTAGAAAATGTTTAATTATATAACATGTATAATAATTGTATAATGTATATGCTTATATGTTTATCTTCGTATTTTATTTAGAAAATATTTTTGGTCTATTTAGAAATTAGAAAGGGTTGCTTTTTTATTTTTTTAATTAATTTTATGAGAGAGAAAGAAAATAGGAGAAGCTGAGATTTTTTTACCAGATCATTAAATAAGATAGAAAAAGCGCTAAAATTTTTTCCTAGGATTTTGAATAGGAAAGAGAAATATGATTTATGGATGAGAGAGAAAGATAAATAAGATACGTAATAAGAATCTAAAGGTACCCCTAATTATGGGAAAGAGTTAGGAATTAACAGTTAAAATATGCTACGTTTGTTATAAAATGTGTTGTTATTATAATAAACCAAAAATTGTGGTATTAATTTGAATACTATTTTATAAGAGACCAACAATGTAAAAAACTCTTCTTCTTTCTTTTTGGAGATATCAATTAACATTTCAACCAAATACTCACAAACAAGTTTTCATGCATATTATAAAAAATTAACAAATTTATGCAAACAAGTTCTAATTCCACGTATTATAATTACCTCTCTTATTTTACTCTTTTCATAATAAATTTTGAGAAATGATAACTGGTGTGAAGATAAACAAACAACCCAAAAACAATATTCCTAATTTGTACAAATTGTCATAACAAGTTAAATATAATTTTTTTTGCTGTAAAAAATTAAATTCTCTTAAAATATTGAACGTATCATCAAAGATGGAACTAGAATTTTAAGTTTATAAGTTTTGTATTCTAAAAAAAACAGCTTATCGAGTTCTATGTAAATTAATTATGCATATTAAGTGAATATTTAAATACAAATAATATTTCACCACAATTATTAAATTAATTAAAGATTTTATTTCACAACTACCTTTGCTAAAAAATCTGAAAATATAAAACTAATTGAAGGTCTTATCACAACTATCCATATCTTATTTTATGAAGTAAGGGTGATTTATAGACCCCACAAACTAAGAGGAAAATAAGATAAAGAAAGAGTGAGAACAGAAACTACAAAGAATAAATAGCATTTATTGCTAAATAAATATGAGCAGAATCAGTTGAACGAAATTCAAATGAGAGCATCGCTAATTTATGACTGAAAATCTAAAATACTAAAAGGTCAACCTATATTTCGTGTACTATAGATTGTTTCAAATAGGAAATGGGTAAGCCATCACTGATAAAGTTTGAGTGGCGACGGGTTGAGTTTGGGTTTTCTCAAGTGAAATTCAAAAATAGCCGGATTAACAAGTGATAATTGAAAAATAGTCACAATTTTAAAAATAATCAAAATTTAGCCATTTTTCATATAAAGATAAATCTGAACGAAAACACTGTTCAAATCCGAAAAATATTCCAGCATAATATACCAGAGTTCAAGTTTTTTACATGTGAACTTCCATCATAATATAGTGGAGTTCCAGCATAATATACTGGTTCATCATAATATGCTTGAAGTTTATACACAGGTGCTCTAATCTCCAGTATATTATGCTGGAACTTTCCGTGTGCTAGAGTTCCAACATAATATGCTGGAAGTTCATACACATGTGCACCAATCTCCGGTATATTATACTGAAACTTAGTGGTTATTTTTCAATGACTTTGCAAACGCTGACTATTTTTCAATTACCAGTCCGAAAACTGACTAGCCTGTGCTATTTAGTTGTCTCATGGGATGACTTTGGGCTAACTTTTGTCATGGGACAGGATGGGCTATGCCCAAATCAGCCCACCAGGAAAAATGTTTCATACCCAACCCGTTAAACATTGGACGGGTTGAGCGGGTTATATGAGTTTGGGCTGTTTTTGCCAGCACTTACTTGGGCCCATCCAAAGCTCCTTGCCAAAAAGACTGTTTCGTGAGATGGGGCATCATCTACACAGGATCATGCCCGGACTCCTTTGTGTTATAAAACCAAGTTCATTAGTGACCTCCTACGTTGTCTTTAAGAGATTAATCGTTTCTTAGCAAGAAACACGACAGCTTAATCTGTCTTAGTAAGCAATCTTTTTCAAGATGAAAAAACAAAATCAGCAAGACAAGGTTGCTACAAAGAGAAATTTCAGTGACACTAGCAAGTACTTGGATTAGAGTAGAGAAATAGAAGCTGCAATAAGTTAATGAACACGCTAACTCGCTAAGCTTCGATTTAAGATGATAAACATGAAACAATGTAGAAGCCTCCTTATTGGTTATGATAAAGGGAAGCTCAAAATAGTAGATCTGCCATTCCTAGAAACACCTTTGTACAAGGTTAAGTGCAAAACTTAGATTGCCAACAAAATACCAAACATAGTGCTGCTAATCACTGATCCAAAAGTAAATTGCATGGTATTTTATCACAGCACAAGGTCATCGAGAACATCTCAAAAGGGCTTTTGATAATAGTCAAGCTTTTTTTCCCTTCTTCCGATACCAATCAAGCATCTTTAGTGTCCAGACCTAATATGTACCCCCCACAAAAGGCAACTCCTCGCCCAACCAAACATTTATGTATCACTTGATGGTAATGTAGCGATTCGTACCATGTTTGGCCCAATAAGTCTTGAGATCAATGGGCAAAGACAGATCATGGCCAACTGCTGCAAGCCTTGTAAGCAATCTGCTAAATACGCTTCCACTCATTTTCCTACCACCAATACGGGCATGGCGTTTGTTTGGCAATTGCGGTAGTGGATACTCTGACAGATATGTAGTGCAGCAAGATGACTGCCAGCCCCCACTTCCCCATTTGTAACACTGCCTTGGTATTCCGGTACACGTGCAAACAGGTATTGGCATGGAAGATTCGTCAAACTTGATCTGGTTTATTGACCCAAGATCCTGAGCATCCCATTCAGCTTTAGATCCATCCGTTGTAAGATGTCGATTCAAATCTTCATTCACTTTCTTTGTCTTCCTTGACATGCCTTTGTTTCCCTTTGTTCGTTTTACTTGGAGTGCCTTGGCAACTTCAGATGAAATGGCAGATATAGGAAAAGCATCAGTTAAGGGCACATCCCTATTGATACAAATAGAATCAGTGCTATTGTCGCAATGATTTTTACTTTGATTAGGGCGCTTTGTTCCACGTGTCCTACAACCCAATGTTCCATTCATGGTACTTTCCTGAAAGAGGAGGGCAGCAATTGCATTGTCCCTTTCTTTTATGGCAGTATCTCGCTCAGCAATTGCTGTATCTCGCTGCTGGATTGCCAAATCTCGCTCTGCTAATACTGTATTCTTTTCAATCACTGCTCTATCCCGTTCTTCAACAGCAGCGTCTCGTTCAGCGCAGAGCATTCTGATTTTCGTATTCATGATGAAAGCCTCTTGGTCCTTCATCTGGTAAGGAGGTACCACGTTCCACTGCAGTGAAAGTAATGGTAGTGGAACTACATTACTACTGATCATATGTCGAGATATTCGGAACAGAATAAAATAGATTAGTTCCAAGATTCTGCTCGGTACTATGATAATGCATCCTTGTTATTGGACGATTCATTTTAGTCAGTAAATTTTTGTGATTAATTGAGTAAATTCCCAACTAGCTTGTGATTCCTTTCATAATAAAACACTTCTCTTACCGGCGCATGACCTCCTTTGGAGCAATCCATTCTGTGTCTCCTACTTTCTCGTCGACCCCCATCGTCCATCTTATATGCGTGCTTGATGAGGAGCAGATTTGTATCTCCCTCTATACAGTATTTTCTGGATCAAATATCAATTGGCTGTCTGGCTCTTCACTCAACACTCATCCTGCAGTAAATAATAGAGGGAAGGAAATAAGAAGTCCAGACTAGCTACTGCAATGCAGGTAAGATAAAATAAATCAGCCATTAGTAAGCAGATAAGAGTTCCAATTAATTGTCCAAATATACAAAAAAAAATGGCATAAGTGCATAACACAGAGCACAAATGTCATGTTCTTTAAAGAGGAGTTATGGCTACGTAATAGAGCCAGAGAGAGAGAGATGTTAAGGATACGATCCAGTAGCAACAACGGCCAAATAAATAGTGCATCAAGCCTTTTGAAAACAAATTATCCCCAAACACAGAGGAACCTCAAGCGGTGCTCAAACCTCAAGGTACGACCCGCCTCCAAGAAAATAGTAGGTCAAATGTCCAGTAATCTTAATGAATTACATGCTAATGATGCTTTTATAACATCGCCAGATAGCAAAGACGGGACAACTAATAGGATGTCAGGTATTTGGACAAATATCCCCCAAAACAGCAACTAGCAGAGTAGTTCCACCTTCTTGAAGCAAAAATCTCAACTGTAATAGGGTGCCTAGGAGGTCATACAATGGTTTAGCAACTTGTGAATAAAGCTCTTACTTCCCTTTGAGACAGATAATTTGACAATATAGCAGGGGAAGGTGTATCTAAGAAGTAGACATGAGAAAGGGCTGTCTTCTAGTGCTTGAGAAAGAAGCATCTTTCCATACATCATAATGCCAAGCCAAAGTGATAGGCTTATCCTGCTAAGTATCTCAATTTACCAGGTTTTTCCTCCTCCACGATAATGCAGGAGGAAAGGTATATAGAAGAAGAAGACTTGCTGGAAAAAAAGAAAAATTTCTGTTCTCCGAAATTGCACAAATGAAGAGAGATCACTTTACAGTAACAGGAACATGTTGTCATTGAGCAGTCATTTATGATATTCATCATCTGTTCAAATAAAATCTTCATAACCTTACATCACATGGAGCACATAATGTTGGTCATGATATCAATATGACAATATGTCCATGAAAATAAACAGAAACATAAATACAGCAAATCTACACCGTCTCTCTCCCCTATCTCTCTGGAACATGTTATTGCTAAACTCAAGCCCACAGGGCTATGTTAAAGAAATGCTTAGATTTGTAAATGTTGATTTGCATAAGTACTTCTGCCTGGCCAGTTGGTTCATGTTTTATTGCCAACTTAGTTGCTGCCAATATAAACGTCTAATTGCTGAACTAGAGTTGACAATGAATCGAAGTTGCTTGTGCTAGCAGAGACAATGACAGGAAAACATATGAAAGCCATGACATGTATGTATACAAGAAACTCTGTATGTATCTATCTAGCATACATAGGCCTGTCCCTCTACCCTTCTCCGGTACACCTAACCCATACATCACAACCTACGCTCACAACTCGACTTTTTTGCTTTCTTCTTTTGCCTTCTTCAGTACCGATAGGCGGTAGGCTAAAAGAAGGACCAGGAGATGAAGCAACATGAAACAGTCCTCAAATATGAAATCTTGCAATCCTATGCTTAGTTGGTTGTCAACACCCTTTGGACACGGGAGATACCTTGTCAGTTAAGAAAAAATGGATCATGTTTCATTGTTTAACTTTTCTAGCTCTTAGCCGACTTGCTTTTCCTGCTCAAATTGATACAGAAATCTAAACTGTTTAATATTAAGAAAACAGCAAAGAACTGCCTGAAGTTCCCTCCTAGTCACACGTCTCAAGTTGTCAATAGTACTAGTAGAATATTCGTCGATCTCAAATAACATTCAATTTGTTTTTTCTTTTTCAGGTCAAATACTGTTTAGGGGAAGTACGTGAATACATACTTAATAGGAAGAAGGAACACAATGAAAACACAGAACTACATAACAAGCAAACTATAAGAAAAAGGAGAAGTAAATCCAACTTTTTCTTCTCAAAAAAATACCTGTCTTTTTTCCCCTTGCCTCTAGGAAATCCATAAATTCCAGTGCACAATTTAGTAATTCACAATGAGTTAGCGAGAATTCATCTAACTAAAACCAATTAAAATACTTCTCTAGCACATCAATGTGCAGCACAAATAATGAAATAAAACCCTTCTTAAACAAAGATCACTATACCATTAATTTCCCAGCACACCAAAACACGAAAGGTAATATATTTTTCCTTCTCTGTGTTGTAGATTAAAAACCTATGAACTGACAATTGAGAGAGCATAGGGAGGCAAAATATGAGCAAAACAGATAAACTAGGGTTTCAACTTTCACGCACGCAGAAAAACAAACAGACGCAGTTATTAAAAAAAACTAGTAATATGCTGTGATGAAAGAGAGAGGGAGTTAATTAGAGTGAGAAACTGAATGCAGAAAATGAGGCGAGAAAGATGAAGATTGTAGAAAGAAACTTACAGGGGGAATCGGCGAGAGAATTTATGAACAATAGCGCATCGCCGGTGAGTGAAAACCCTTTTCTCAACACCTGGAGTGGAACTAGTGGGTTTAATTCTTTTTTCTAAATATAACTTAGTTACATTTTTTTTTATTTAAAAAAAAAATTGGTTTAGTTTTTGAAAGATAAACATGTTTTCAGATCAAATGCCATTGTCCTCTATTTTTTCTTTTTTATTTATTTAAAAAATATAACTTCTCAATAGATTTGTCGTGTAACATAGAGAAACAATAGTAATTTTATAGGGTTTTATTCCAAAATAAAAAACACTTTATTTTCTAAAAATCAATACGTTTATTATGTAAAACAAAGTAGTATTGTATGATCTTTTGAAGTTGGTTCCAAAGCCAACTGAATTGTTTTTGCACCAGACATGAGCCAACTATTAAATGTGGGCCTAATTAAAATGTCTTTATTCGAAAAAATAAAGAAATATAACACTTTTTGTGGAAGTCTTTAACTTTTGACGGTCGTTTGTCCGGTCGGCTAAATTTTAAGGTCAAAGGTTAAAAGTATTGTCCGTAAGTCAAGCGAGGAACAACACTCGTTAAACTTTAAGTTATTCCGCATATACAAAAATTTAAAATCATCAACTTTGAGGGTGTTATGAAATAATAAAAGAAAAAAGAGTATTGCAGAGAAAAGTAGGAAGATAGAATTCTTATTGAGTTGGGATGAATTACAATGAAATAGAACCCCTCTATTTATAGGAGAAAAGTGACTTAAAACCCTAAAATTTCTCTAAAATATAGACATTCACCATAAATAAAATATTATTTATAACACCCCCTCCCCCCTTGAATGTCTATTCAATAGATAATGTGACTCGTTAAAACCTTAACTAAAATAAGACTCAATGGGGAAAGATTTTAGTGAAGGAAAAAGAGTACATATATCCAACAATACGTCTTTTGGTTGCCTTGTTAAAAACCTTGTAAGGAAAACCCAGTGGGATAAAACCTTATAAGGAAAAAAGAGTACAACGCGTATTAACTCCCCTGATGAGATTATCAATTTACATCCTTGAGCTTCGCATTCCAATCTTGTGCACCATCTTCAAAAGATCATTGGTAGAGATTTGATAAACAAATCAGCCATATTAACTTGAATGAATATATTGCACCTTGAAATCATCATTCTTGATAGATATATAATATCTTCATATAATGTCATGGAATGACTTTTTTAATATCTCCATAGTGGCAAAAAAATTCGCTATCACATTATCATGCTTATAGTTATAGCAATATACATTTGTGCACAAATTGCACTTAGGATGTGATACTTCAGGACCAAGAATTGTATATGCTTTAAGCGATTTAAATCTTTCACATATTGTCATATAAGCCATATAAATAGAGTTCTAGATGCATATCAAGTTTTCATGTCATGCTAGACATATAAGATAGATAAAAGTGATTGCACACTCTGTTGACTATATACTTTCAAGTGTTTGAACTACATGTCCAAAACTATGTGTCCTTCATATGAAACTAATTCTACTCGAATTATTTTTCAGACTTAAGATCCTCATGTATATTTAACGTTATCATAGACGTAATCGACGAACATTTTATATTGGTTCCAACAATCTTTTTTTTTCTTCATAAAGACATGACATAGATATCTCTTCATTCATATTTTCAGGTACCTAAACCTCTCCTGAATTTTATGAAATGTTATGTCATGTGATCTTCTAAATCACTTGCCACTTTATTATGATCATTTTGATCATTTGCTCATCTTCTTTATCAAGAATTTTACTTGAAATAAATTTGTCTATACGCTTTAAGCGTACCATAGTCTTTGTCATTTTAGGACTTATTCTAATAGGAGCATTTGTAGTGAGAATATAGTTACTTTTTGGGGGTCAGCAAATGCGCCTGGCATGCTTTGCAATATATTGCATATAAGTTATCTTTTTATGATCTTCAAATTCATATTATCTTATTCGAGGATCTAGATGTACAAATGATAATTCATTCCACGTAACTTTTTTCTCAATTATTTATCTTGTCTCCCCCTCATGATAGAGAAACTAACTTGCTTCCACAACTTTGGATTCACCTTTGTGCGTTGTGGTTTTAATCAAAAGATACACCGCACATCAATAATAATAAGATGAAACTATTTGGTTCATGAGCCTGAACCACTTGTGAGAGAAGAATGTAATATACTTTCGTATATAACGTATATCAACTGATATAGATAATTTGTTCTCATAAACAACAGTTTAGCTATTAAGTGGAGGCACTCAGTAAATCATTTTGCTAAACCAACTGTGATGTAAACCAACTTATCAAGATGAACTGTCTTGAAATCTGAAAATTATGCTCTAAATTAAATTATTGAGTAGTTACCTCGCAAACACCAGATTGCAGGTTAATAATAATCGCACATGTAACCATCTCATACATGCATCTTATGTGGTATACATGGCAGGTGAATGGGCCCATATTCACCTTTGATAAATTCAAAAATTCAAGGGATTCAATCCTAATTTTAGTTGGTATAATAACCGCGAGAGCAAGCAAAACAAGAGAATTCATAAAGAAACTTCTTCAACACTTACCCATGTTAATTCTCATTTATTTTGCACATCTAAATCAAGATTGCTCAATAGGTCATGCTTGATAAAATTGTCTGTATTAGTAAACTTCAGGTTTACATCATGATATGTACAATTGTTAATTAAACTTCCAGTTTACTGTGACATGAGTTTTATATCAATAAACATCTAGTTTACTATGTCATGTAATTTCGCCATATTGTTTATTTGTGTAATACAAATCAGGCAATAAAGCGGGTAGTATTCATATATACATATTATCCCACTACAGTTGTAGTAATATAAAGATATTAAATCTTTATTATTTATAGTCTCAATATAACCATCCGCTTTCGCGAATACTTTAGAAACTCAATAAGTTTCTTTGAGACTTACAATGTAACGACCCGACCATTCGTTCCGAGAGTTATAGCCTTGTTTCCCCATTCTTGCTTCTTTATGTGTTGTTCAGCGGTGTTGAGTTGTATCAAGTTGGTAGGTTTGGGTCCGGAGTAGTTTTGGAGTGAAATGAACACTTAGTCTCTTAGTTAGAAAGTTAAGTTAGAAAAGTCAACCGTAAGTTGACTTATGAGTAAACGAATTCGGATGCGGATTTTTATGATTCGATTAGCTTCGTTGGGTTATTTTAGACTTAGGAGTGTGTCCGGAATATAATTTGGAGGTCCGTGGTAGAATTAGGCTTGAATTGACGAAAGTTGGAAGTTTAGAAGTTCTTAGGTTTGAATCTGAAGTTGATTTGGTGTTTTGGTATTGTTTTGGGTGTTCCGAAGGTTCGACTAAGTTCGAGTAGTGATATATGACTTGTTGGAATTATTGGTTGAGGTCCCGAGGGCCTCGGCTGAGTTTCGGATAGGTTTGGGTTGTGTTGCGCTCGTTTTTCTTATGTTTCGACGCAGTTTCTTCAAGCATAAATGATATCATATTGAACAAATGAGCTCTGATTTCTTTTTTGATTGAAGCATTAGGTCCGTATCGTAATTATGGACCCGTAGTAAAAAGAATCGTCGAATTTGGACATCGTATGAGGATTTTATGGTCATTTTACTAAGAATTAGGTTGCCAGATTTTTCAGATTAATTACGAAATTGCCACTGACGGTGTATTTAAAAATCTGCACTATTTGTAAATATTAAAACCTACATATCTCCTTCATTATAAGGTCAAATTGAGTGATTCAAAAGCCTAACTTGACTAAATATTTCACAAGGAATCCATTGGAGACATAAAAAACGAGTTTCAGGATCGTTTGGCATGAGAAACGAGGCAGAATAGTTGGCAGAAAAATATATAAAACGAGGGTTTGTTCATTCGGTCATATTTTGAGTTGGGGAGTTCGAATTTGGGCGATTTTAGGGGCGATTTTCACCACAAGGATTGGGGTAAGTGTTCTCTACTCAGTTTTGGTTATATTTTATGAATCCATCTTCGTTTTTGGGATTTGATTGATGATTTCAAAGTGAAATTGAGGGAGTTAGGGTTTGAGTCTTGGAGAGTTTAAGTGAGGATTTGAGGGACCAAGCGGAGTCCGATTTTGATGAATTATATATGGTTAGACTCGGGATAGGACGAGGTTTATTATTCTATCATTTTTGACTGATTTAGAGACGTGGGCCCGGGGGCCGGGTTTTGGCCGGTTTCGGATTTTTGGCATATTTTGTAGTTTTTATTGTGGAATTCGTTTCGTTAGCCTATGTTGATGGTATTAATTTGATTATAGTTAGATTTGGAGCTTTTGGAGACCGGTTCCAGAGACGAGGGCATCCCGGAGTAGGATTTTACGTTGTTAAGGTAAGTAACAGTTTTAACTCTGGCTTTGAGGGTATAAACCCGGAGAATTTGATATCGTGTGACTGTTTGGAGGTGATACCCACGCTAGGTAACGGGCGTATGTGTTTACGTAGTTACTTGTTGTTGAACTTATCTGCCTTCATGTTAGAGAGCATGCTTAGGCTTTATTCATGCTCACATTATTTGTACTGAGTCATAGAAATTATTGTACATGTTTACCTCAGTCTCTATTATTTGCTAATATGTTGTGATACTTGATGTGGGATGTATTTCCTTATTTGTTGATGATGGTGAGGCTAGTGAGGTACATGATTGAGTGAGGCCGAGGGCCTGGTTATGAGGATATTAATACCATAGCGTGTGAGTTGTCCGCGTAGCACGTGAATTGACCATACAGGTCCAGGTATTGATACCATAGCGCATGAGTTGTCCGCGTAGCACATGAGTTGACCGTGCAGATCCAGGTATTGATATGATGGCACGTGAGTTATCCATGCTTAGAGCTTGGGCTTTGGGAGCCCCTCCAGAGTCTGTACACACCCCTAGTGAGCGCAGAGTGTTGAGTGTTGAGCGTTGAGTG